GCAATCCACTCACCTCAGCCTCCCAAAGGCGCGGGATTACAGGCTGATTTTTTTTTTTTTTTTTTTTGAGCTAGAGTTCTCATTTTGTTGCTCAGGCTGGAGTGCAGTAGCATGATCACAGCCACCACAGCCTAGTCCTGCTGGGCTCAGATGATCCTTCTGCCTCAGCTTTCCAAGTAGCTGGGACTACGGGCACACCACCATGCCCAGCTAATGATTTTATTTATTGTAGAGATGAGGTCTCGCTATGTTGCCCAGGCTGGTTTAGAATTCCTTGCCTCAGCCTCCCAAAGTGTTGGGATTACAGGCATGAGCCACTGTGCCCGGCCTCATCTATTGTAACTAGGAAATATTATTACAATAGATTTTAAAATGAATAAGAAGTTATCTGGAAGCTCCCTCCTTGAACAGTTTTTCCACATTATTTTTCTATTTTTTTAAGAAACAGGGTCTTGCTCTGTTATCCAGGCTGGAGTGCAGTGGTACGTTCATAGCTCACTGCAGCCTTGAACTCCTGGGCTCAAGGAATCTTCCCACCTTAGCCTCCCAAGGAGCTGGGGCTACAGGCATGTGAACCTAAGACTGGTTAATTTTTTTATTTATTGTAGAGACAAGGTCTAACCAAGTTACCCAGGCTGGTTTTGAACTTCTGGCCTCATGTAATCCTCCTACCTTGGCTTTTCAAAGTGCTGGGATTACAGGCATGAGCCACCACAGCTAGGCAATCTTTCTGTTCTTAACCATAAACACATTACAAAGTTTACACAGTTGCAACTTCTACCACATGACATATAATTATCTTTGTTTGTGGCTTTAAGGTTTAGTGTTTAAGCCTAAGTCAGCATGTCATAACACCTTTTTTCTACTGATGGAGATGAATATATACTTCAGTGTGTATCTTCATGATTTTAGTTTTTGTTTCTTTTTTTTCAGATGGGGATTGGATGATCCCTTTAGGATAAAAAGTGATATTGACATTTCCATGCCTCTTCAGATGTACAGCAGATGTCCTTTTGACAGAGCAATACTAAGTAATCCTGCAACCAGCAGCGGGAGAGCAGACATCCATCAGCCCTGTCAGCCCCATCTCACAAGCAATGAGTGTCATCATTTCTCTACATTTTGTTTACTTAATAGCATAAAGTGACTCAGCCAATAATTTTAACCTACTCCTCAATTAACCCATCTAACAAGATAAACAAATAATAACTGAGGACTTGGACTTCTCCTGTCTTCTTTCTACATGTGTTTATTGCAAATCAAGTGACGGATGACTCTGAAAAGACTTGAAAGGGAGGTGAGAGGTACAACCAGGGGTCAGGATAATGCACAAAATGGACAGCCATCTGGGAAACCGCGAACTCACTGTTAATTAACTGAATACATTTCTGATCAGGCCATCTGTGGTCTATAAGGGTAAATAAATCACATTGTTAAATTCCAAGAAGAAGGAGACTAAATGGTGTCTTTTGCCTTTCCATGACCGGAAGTCTTTTTTTACAACCCATCTCCTGAAACCAGTGAACAAATAAACCACCACCAAAGTGAGAAACTGTGTAACAGTTAGACAGCAGAATGCCAGCTGCCAGCATTCCTTAGCCTTCAGAGGAGTGGGAGGTTGTGAAATCTCTGTCCTTAGAGATTTTAAAAGTACCAGAGAAATATCTGCTTCCTACAGACTAGATTACAATACTGCTAAGATGCAGGAACTAGCAGCTGGCCCTAGGCTTCCACCCAGCACCCCATGGCTCCCTGCAAGGACCCAGCAGAAATGTCAGGCTTACTATTTAAATTGTACTTGGTAGACCACTGGTCTCGTGTCATTGCTCAGAACCACCGGTTCCCAACTCAAAACCTGCTCGGTGTTGTACAGACGAATCTCCGGGTGCTGAGGAGCTGGCAACTGGGAAAGAAAGTCTTGAAAGGGAGGGAAAAGAGGAGAAGCAGGGAGGGGAGAGGGGAAGAAGGGGAAAGGGAGAGAGAGAGAGAAAAAGAGTGAGAGAGAAATTCCAAAGGAGGAAAGTCAATTACAAAAATATTTCAACACTCGTTACCAAAGTTTCACACAACTCAGTTTTTGCCGCAGCGCAGAATGGCAGTACCTGTTCTCACTGGACATGCCCACCCACTCCCACGTCTGACTACGATGATGGCCCCACTGGCATAGTCAGTGGAAAACAAAAGAGGCGTATGAGGCAGTCTTTCCACCTGTGGCCCCAGTGGTTATGCATAGGTCCCGGGCCCTGGAGTCTAGTCTTCCTGGGATCCTGGTTCTACCATTAGTAACTGCTTGATCTGGGGGGGCTACTTAACCTGTCCAAGCCTCAGTTTCTTCACGCATGGGCTATGGGGAAGATTAAATGGGTGAGCCTGTGACATACATTAACCACAGATTTAGTACCACAGGACTGTTTGGTAAATTGCCACAAACGCATGCGCACACACTCCCTGTCAGGTATGCAAAGCCCAAGGCGCATGGCAAGAACTGTCTTCTGGGCATCCTCAGAGTTGCTGTGTTTCTCAAGGATCTCCCTGCGTCACAATCACTGGGGTGCTGATTAAAATGCAGACTCCCAGACTGTACCCCAGACCAGGAACTCTGAATTTCAGACAAACTTTCCATGCACATTAAAGTTTCTCATGCACATTAAAGGTTTGAGAACTATAAACAATGAAATCACTTACTCCCTAGGGAACTCCACCAATATCAGAATCCCTCTCTGGTGTGATCTGGAAAAAATAACCTCCAGTCCACCAAGCAGATACTTTACAGGGAACCTTCTCCCTTAGAAACACACACACACACAATCAGGGTAACACTATCTTTGGCCAAAAGATTAATGAGAAATGTCCACAAAGTAGAAAGACTGGTTCGAAAAACATGCTGTTCCAGAGCTCAAAGCAGGAAATTCAAACCACACATTTTTGGTAAAGGCATCCAACCTTAAGAGCAGTGCCCAGATCAGCCGACAGCCTGGCCCCCAACTCTTCCTCTGAAAGACACACAGCCAAGAGCCTGCGATCATTTGTTTACTGACAGGAGGCCCATCCTCTGCACAGCTGTGAGCTCGGTGACCCTTCCTTCAACCGGCCCGCCAGCTAGCCCCAGTCCTGACACACTGCAAGCCTCACAAAACCAGACCAAGGGCAGACAGGCAAAGCAGTGTAGCGGGAGGAAGGCCCAGAGGGCGCACTGTGGTGGCTGCTGTGACCTAGCAGATCCCCAAACTGAGGGCCTTCTTCCTGGGAGGGCCGTGTGACACCCCATGAGTTGAGTGCTTGCCTGGGGCTGGGCACCCATCAAAGAATTTCAGAGACCTTTTATTTCCTGTATTAAGTTCCTATTACATATTACCATTATTTCCGGTATTAAGTTCCTATTACATATTACCACAAACCTAGTGGCTTAAAACAACCCAGGTTTGGCTGGCTGTGGTAGCACACTCCAGTAGTCCCAGCTACTAGGGAGGCTGAGGAGGGAGCATCGCTGGAGCCCAGGAGGTCAAGGCTGCAGTGAGCTATGAATGCACCACTGCACTCCAGCCTGGGTGACAGAGCGAGATCCTATCCCTAAAAACCAACCAACCAAACAACCTAGATTTATTATCTTATGGTTCTGGAGGTCAGAAGTTTGAAATAGGTCTCACTGGCTAAAGTCAAGTCATCGGCAGGGCTGGGTCCTTCTGGAGGCTCAGGAGAATTGCATTTTCCAGCCACTCTCATTCTTTGGCTTGGGGTCCCCCCCGCCCCGGCAAAGCTTGCCACGCCCTTGCCTCACTGGTGCAGATGCTTCTGCCTCCCCCTTCCATCTTTTGAAGATTCACACTGGGCCCACCCGGCCCAACAAGCCAGGGCCACCTCTTCATCTCAGGGTCCTTAACTTAGTCACAGTTGCAAAGTCCCTTTGGTCATGTCAGGCAAAACATTCACAGCTTCTGGGGACCAGGATACGGACGCCTTTGGAGACCATTATTCTGTCTCCCACACAACCCATCACCATCTCCCGGCTCTGGGGAGGAACAAGCAGGAACAGCCACATCCTCCTCCTGGTGCCTCATCTCCCCAGTCTAAACATTCAGCTGAGAAAGCAAGCACCGAGAAACCTGGGGTGACAGGGACAGGCTTCTAACCCCAACGACATGTGGAGCAGCAGAAAGGCATTCCTGCAAAAGTCAGAGCTCCCAGACCGGTTTCTTCAATTTCCATTTTACTGAGGTGTGAGGACCCATGTGAGCCAGTTTTATCTTACATCTGCGTTTCTGGTAATCCCCTATCTTATCGCATTTACAGAAGAACACGTGTTTCAGCACTGCTGATGCCTCAAGGAAATGCCAAGGATGCCTACTCCCTCAAAAGTGCTATATAGGCCAGGTGCAGTGGCTCACGCCTGTAATCCCAGCACTTTGAGAGGCAGAGGCAGGAGGATTGCTTGAGCCCAGGAGTATGAGGCCAGCCTGGGCATCATGGTGAGATCTTATTTCTGCAAAAAGTAAAAAAATTAGCCAGATGTGGTGGCACAAGCCTGTAGTTCCAGCTACTCTGGAGGCTGAGGCAGGAGGATGGCTTGAGCCCAGGAGGTCGAGGCTACAGTGAGCTTTGATCATGCCACTGCACTCCAGCTTGGGTGAGAGTGAGACCCTGGCAAAAACAAAAACAAAACAAAAAACCCAAGATTATTGAACTGGACTAATGGATTACTGGTCTGACCTCAAGTCTCATCATACAATCAACAACAATTATTCCTATTACTGAGAGGCAACTCTTTGTAAAAGGAAATACAAGTACTTTTAGAGGGCACTTTATGTGACTCAACTGTCAAACTTTCAATCCAAAAGTTCAGTTTAGGAAGCCAAGTGACATTTGCACAAGAAGCAAAAGGAGAAATTAACTACACATTTAACATACAAACATGCTCTCAACAATCTCCATATGTGTTAGAGTTCCAAATAACATACCTGAGAAATTTGTCATTTAATCAAACTTTTATAATACCATCTGTATATGTACTATTTGGTTCATTACAGAAATCATTTGTCAAAGTCTGGTTTAGAGGATAGAGTTTAGATTCAAGTAGACTGAATATTCTTTCATGATCTTGTCTGAAACAGATTAATCACTAAAACGTCTTCAACTACCCAGTTTTCTTTGGGGCCTACATAATTTTGTATAATTTATTTCTTCGCTTTTACTCGACAAACTCCTATTCATGTTTCAAAACCCAGCTCAGTTTGTTCTTTTTCTATGAAACTTTCCTTAACTCTTCCCAACAAATAGTGTCCCTGGAACACTGTTTTCCTATTTTTATTACAGCACTTTTTATTTTAGCTCAGAGTACATGTGTATCTATGAGCATACTGCAGTGCAGTTACTGTATTTGTTTTTCTGACAAGGTCCCTAACTAGACGATTCTCTATACTGAGTGTCTGAATCATTTTTATGTGTTCTGGGCCTAACACCAGTAGCACTTATTTTTTTATTTTTATTTTTTTTGAGTTGGAGTCTCACTCTGTCGCTCAGACTGGAGTGCAGTGGTAGCTCCTGGCCACCACAGCCTCAACCTGCTGGGCTCCAGAGATTCTTCCGCCTCAGCCTTCCAAGGAGCTGGAACTACAGGCGCATGCTACCACATCCGGCTGATTTTTAAAAATTTATTGTAGAGATGAGGTCTCTCCAAGTTGCCCAGGCGGGTCTCGAACCCGCGGGCTCAGGCAATCCACTCACCTCAGCCTCCCAAGGCACGGGATTACAGGCTGAGCCACCAAGCCCGGCACCAGTAGCATTTAACAACTAGTAAAGAGATAGATGAACAAACACCACATTCTTGCCCTAACTGGCTACCTCTGATCTACCACAGGTCCAGGTACTTGAGACTTTATACATATTTAAGAATGGCATATCCTGCCAGCATGGTGGTTCAAGCCTGTAATCCCAGCACTTTGGGAGGCTAAGGCGAGAGGATAGCCTGAGCCCAAGGGATCGAGACCAGCCTGGGGAACTTGGTGAGACCATGTCTCTACAATAAATCAAAAAATTAGTCAGGCATGGTAGTGCATGTCTGTAGTTTCTGGCTACTTGGAAGGCTGAGGCAGAAGGACCACCTGAGCCCAGGAGGTCGAGGCTGTGGTGGCCACGAGCTTGCCACTGTACTCTAGCCTGGGTGACAGAGTGAGACTCCAACTCAAAAAAAAAAAAAAAAGAAAAAAGAAAGAAAAAAAAAAGAATAGCATATCCTGAGTCTTAACCAAAACAGTATTTGGTTAACACATATCACATATAAGTAATAAAATAAAATAATTAACATTAATCATTTAATCACTTAACTGAGGACTGATCCTTCAGGGTGGGGAAGGGTTGGGCATTATGATGAAAATCAGTTACTCATCCAATACAGATGTGAGCCACTGCAACTGGCTGTTATCAAGTTACTTACCTAGGTCATTTGTCTCTTCCTATAAAGAATGGTTTTGTTTTCTTGGGAGTAAAATGAGGATATTACCTACTTCAAAAGAATGAGAAAATTGGCCAGGCATAGTGGCTCATGCCTATAATCCTAGCACATTGGGAGGCCAAGGGGAGAGGATTGCCTGAGCCCGCGGGTTCGAGACCAGCCTGGGCAACTTGGTGAGACCTCATCTCTTCAATAAATTAAAAAAAAAAAAATTAGCCAGGCATGGTGGTGTGTGCCTGTAGTTCCAGCTACTTGGAAGGCTGAGGCAGAAGAATCGCCTGAGCCCAGCAGGTCGAAGCTATAGTGGCCAGGAGCGTGCTACTGCCCTCCAGCCTGGGTGACAGAGAATGAGAGATAATATATACAAAGTGCTTAAATACCTTGCCTGACCTGGAATAGTGGCTTAATAAATACCATCATTATCATTTATAAAGTTAGCCAAAACAACATTCCAGCTACCTGAGAGTTTCAATTGCTGAGACTGTGAACATACAGGAATGTGCCCGTGGGCACCCATTTCGATCATGTCATGAACCACTGTTGGCACACGAGAAGCTTTGGATGTGCAAATCAGCAAACAATGGCAACATAATTCTATGAAACAGTTCATATCCAATCCACTGAAAAAGCAAGCAGCAGATGCTACAAACAGAAACAGAGACCTTAATTCTTCAACTCTCAGGTAACAAAATAACCAAAGAGTCATTGGCTGACTGCACTTGTGTGTGGGGGGGCTAATTACATTTTCTAGTAGAGCAAATAGTCACCACTTAACAAAGCATTGCTACAAATTGTATCAGGTCCAATATTATAAATAGAGTAAATATTTTATATTTACTCTATGACAATAGAGTTGTTATAAGAATGTCTACTTCTTTAACAACTCCAAGAAGTAGAAATAATCTCCCTTTAAAAATATATATATTTTTTAAATTTCAATTTTTTTATTTTAAAGATGCGGGGGTACAATTCAAATATACATATTTCTAATGCTTCTTCTTTTTTTTTTTTAAATGAAAACAATCCCACAGCATTTATTGTCATCTTGTAATAACATAAGGGTAATCAAAACAATATGAACAAATATTTTTTAACTATACTCCAAACAAAGGACACCTAAAAAAAACAACAACAAAAAAACTATATCGTGCTCTCAACAATTTCTCACTTCATTGATCATTTCTAGTTGGAGACACTTTGCAGCAGGGTAATATTATCTCCTTTTAGTATGATCTGACCCAGTTGTTTTCTTGACTTTGTTTTAGAATGAATCTCTTCTGCATCATCTAATACAAGGTTCATATACTCATCAAAGCCAATGATACAGCCCTCTATCCGCATATTCACTTGCTCATAAAGCCACACCTGAATCCGGGATCTGTTTTGCAAGTATCTGAAGATGAGGTTGATGGGCTGCACCATCACCTTCTGCACTTTCTGGAGAGTGTCTCTGTCATCTAGGACGGAGTGCAGTGGCATGATCACAGCTCACCATTGCATCCTGGAATTCCAGGGCTCAAGAGTCTCCTGCCTGAGCATCTGAAGTAGCTGGGACTACAGGTATGTGTTACCACACCTGGATGATTTTTAAAAATCTTTTGTAGAAAGAAGGTCTTGCTATGTGATCTTGAACTCCTCAGGCTGGTCTTGAACTCACAGGATCTCCTGCCTCAGCCTCCCAAAGTGCTGGGATTGTGGGTGTGAGCCACTAAGCCTAGCCTTCCTTTACTTTGCTTTTCTGACCATAAAAGCAATTTCATGATTACTGAAGGATACTTGTATGTTATGGAAAAGTGTGAAAACTTTTCAACTACCCTTTTACCATATAATCATTGTGAATATTTTCATTTCGTGTTTTGACTAAAAAAGGGTTTTTCTTTTTTTTTTGAGGTGGAGTCTCACTCATTGTTGCCCAGGCTGGAGTGCAGTGGCACGCTCATGGTCACTGCAGCCTCGACCGGCTGGGCTTAGGCGATCCTTCCGCCTCAGCCTTCTAAGTAGCTAGAACTACAGGCGCACGCCACCATACCCGGCTGGTTTTTTGTGATTTACTGTAGAGACAAGGTCTCACCAAGTTGCCCAGGCTGGTCTTGAATCCCTGGGCTCAGGCAATCCTCTCGCCTCAGCCTCCCAAAGTGCTGAGATTACAGGCTGAGCCACCACACCTGACCAAAAAGGATTTTTCTTAAAAATATCCCAGTTTGGTTTGTTTTTTAACAGTTTAGTATGAAAATGTTCAAATAGTTGCAAAAACAAAGACTGGCATAAAGCGCTACTATTTTTCAAAAGATTTATGGATCCAGTTTATTTCCAAAGCATCACACGGGTTAAAACTTTTGTAGATTACAATGAAAGTTAACCATTAGAAGGATGAACATGCACCTGGATGCCGTGGCAATGTCAACTTGTAAAGTTTCTATATACGTCTCTCAACCTTTGGACTCGTCACAGTTGAGTCACAAAACAGGTCACAAATGACCACTGGTCACTCCACACTGGCATGGAGTACCACCTGCCCAGCACACAACTTGGGCAATCAAGACTTGAAGCCTGGGAGTGGCAGAGTCAGAACCCGCCCATCTGTCTGACTCCCAAGAAAAAATAGTTCATCACTTCCTCTTGTGCAAGTCTCCCCATATTGAGGAGATAGGGGACTTAAGGGCCTTTGCAAGGGATGCCGGTAGCAGAAGCAACCCCTCCTCTCACCACATTATGCCTTTGAATGGGAAGAAACTTTTAAATACTCGAGACTCTGTACGTGCTATTCAGTCTGTGATATCAGCTTCTCCCCAGGAAAGAACCCAACAGAACACAAGTACAGATACTCACACAAAGAGAATGTTTTCCTACCTACACATTGAAGTCCTCCCCTCCACCCCCTTTAGTTTTTATGTTTGGTTCCTCAGTGGGAGGAGTGAGGCCACGGAGTGAGACTGACTCAAAAAAAAAAAAAAGAAAAAGAAAAGAAAGAAAAAAAGAAAGAGGCTGCCAGAGTAACTGGCTGTTTGGGTGGAGAAAGAGCTGGGATTAAAAGTCTGGATCAGGCGGGTACACAGTGCTCACACCTGTAATCCCAGCACTGTGGGAGGCTGAGGCAGGATTGCTTGAGTCCAGGAGTTCAGGACCAGCCTGAGCAACCTTGGCTCTATTTTAAAAATAAAAAAGTCTGAGTGGTTTCTCTCCCCCAAGCCAGCTCCGACATGTCTCACTTTCTTTCTTCTCGACTTTCTCGAATAAACTTTGTTTTTAAACTTAAAAAAAAATCAAAATAAAGAAATCTGAATCAGTGGACACCCTCTCCTTCCTCCCCACGATCGAAAAAATCCGGAAATGTCGGGGTCCTGTCTGAAGTGCTGTTCCCCATGTATATGATCCTGGGGCACTGAATATCTGGATTTCACACTCGGTATCAAGCACGCCCGGACCAGAGTAGAAACCGAGTTCTGGTCACACGGACCAGACCAGCCCTACAGCTGACCTGCTCCTCCAAGGCGATCGAGCGCCGCTTCCAGCATAGGCCACCAGCTCGGGCCACTGCGGAGGGCACGCCAGGCAGGGGCTAAGTTCAGACTGGCCCTGGCTTTGGGCCAGCAGGGGTGGCCTTTCCCAAGCCCTGGATTCACGTTTTTTGGTTGTTCACTTTGAGACATTCAGAGACTCCCCAGGCCCCATTGTTTCCCGGGAGCGGCTGGGAGGAGGACCGGCGGGCGTCCCGCTCCACCGCGGGTGGGGACCGCGTGAGGGTGCCCTCCCGGAGAGGGGGTGCCCTCCCGGAGAGGGGGTGCCCTCCCGGAGAGGGATGTCCCAGGCCTGGCCGTCGCGTGTCCCTCTTGTCCTCCAGCTCCCTGCCCAGAGGCTGCCTGGAATTCCCCGCCGTCCACCCCACACCCGCTGCGGGTTCCCCGCGGGGCCCTCTCGCTCCGGCCACCCCGCGCACTCCCACGCAGTGGGACACCCCGAGGACCCCCCACGCTGCAGGTACCCGCGGCTCCACCCGGTCGGGGCACCTCCGCGCACCCCAC